AGCTTGCCACTTAGCTCCTAATCTAGCAGGAAGCACAGACCTTCCAGTGTCTACAGATGGCACTCAGTGTGCGAATGGGTAGAAAACAGGTGCTTCTTCCCTTTACCAATGAAGTTGGTCCTCTCCTAACTGCCGCTGCAGGAGACCCAGAGGGGACATTCAGCCTTCATTCCACAAGTGACCACAAGGCTCTGTCCCCCATTTAACATTAAGGACTTAAAAGTTGAGAATAGGCCGGGCGGTGGTGGCGCACGCCTTTAATCCCAGCACTCGGGAGGCAGAGCCAGGCGGATCTCTGTGAGTTCGAGGCCAGCCTGGGCTACCAAGTGAGTTCCAGGAAAGGCACAAAGCTACACAGAGAAACCCTGTCTCGAAAAACCAAAAAAAAAAAAAAAAAAAGTTGAGAATAGGCTAGGGACCAGGGACAATAATGCAACCTCTGCAGAAAGACAGGTATGGTATCTGGCATAAGTACCCCCTTGGTGACAGTGAAGGAAGGTATGTTTCTAGTCATGGCTCTGCTGCCTGTGTGGTAATCTTCAGCTTTGGGGGAGCACAGTGGCATCAGTCACAGAAAACAGACTACTGTGGGCCAGATCCAGGCTGGTCTGGATGAGCATCTATTAAACTTGATTCAGTGGAAAGAAATCTCTAAAACCAAATTCACAAGCATGCCTGTCTCAGGTCACCTCGGACTGTGTGGTGTCAGTGTGCCTCGCTGGGGAGCAGCGGCAATGCAGTGTCCAGGTGAACTCAAGCATGCTGGCCTGGCAACTGCAGGATGATAGAAATCCCCTGGGCCCTGGGACATCTGTGAGCTGTGTGGAGCGACATCTGTGGAGGGGCAAGTGCAGGTCCTGGCTTAGTGGAGCCTCTTCAGCTAATGTGGAGCTTCGGAGCCAGCTGCCGAGCTGCTAAAGGATCATGTGTTGTGTGAAGAGCGTGGTCAATTTGCTTGGTCAAGCACTTGGGTAGGGGTGCTAGCTTTGGGCATTTTTAATGACACAGTAATACTTGTTCGTAATACAGGACACTTAATTTAAGTGTTTAGCCTTAGGATAATGACACCTTCATGTAGAATACATCTCATGGATAGTCTTTTCCCAGAGTGATTCACTGTTAACAAACTTTGCATGTTTTTGATAGCTTACTGTGTGTTTGGATGTGTTGTTGTTGCTGTTCATTTGACACAGAACCACGCATGTGCAGATTGCTGGGATAGGACCTTTGGCACCTCGCACTTGTGTTTTCCATCCTTTCTCTCCCAAAAGAGCAATAACCCTGAATTTTACATCATGCAATTCTGTTTTCCTTTATAGTTTTGCTCTAAGCCTATGTACTTTTTAAACTCAATGGGAATGAATTTCACTCTCTCCAAAATAAGTTGTTGCTGTTCAGTTTCATTTGTGCATAACTGTAATTATTTGTCTTGTGTGGTATTCCAACTTAGAAAGATGCTACCAAGCATTAAACCATTCCCTTGCTGAACATGGGGATTTCCCCTGCACATTTCATCTGCTGGCATGCACAGGGCTCCTCTAGGATGTGGTCTCAGGAGAGAAAGACAACACAGTAAGATTCGTGAATCATCAGTTCAGGTGAGCTATGTCAAGAGCTTCTCCATAACGGCTTGGTTCCTCCCTACATCATGTCATGGACAACATTTGGAATCATCAGATGCTCTCGGTTTATTTGAGCTAGTGGATGGGAATGAATGTGCCACAGTGCTTCTCATTTGCATGCCCTAACTAATAAGATTATTTTCATATGGTTGTTGGTCAAGTATGACTATTTGTGTTGTCTGCCTGCTTTCCAGTAATTCACAGGTGTCTTTATCCATTCACTTCTGTGTGTCTATGTGTCCATCTGTGCTTGGTACTTGTAACCCCAGCCCTGGAGAGGCAGAGACAGGTACATCTCTGGGGATCACTAACCTGTCAGCCAAGCCTGCTCAAACTCCAGGCTGGTGAGAGGAATGATGACTGAGGCTGTTCTCTTACCTCCACATGCATATGCACACATGTGCGTGGGCACACACACACACACACACACACACACACACGCATGCACACACACAGGAAGAGAGAAAGGAGCTAGTCCAAAAGTGTGAATATGAGAAAAACAGGTGTGAACGTGAACACAGTGGCAGGCTGCCATGGTTCAAATGGCTGGACTGAAATGGGAGGTGATGCTACATCTAAGGAAGAAAGATGTGCTCTTGGTCCCACCTCAAGTCCAGGTCGCTGCCTTTACCTGTTGTTTCTAATTCCTGTTCCCCATGAAGACTGAAGGGTCAGGTGCAGGTGGCCTCATTCATGTTCTCCCACCACGGCACCAGGAGCACCAGGCCATGATGGGGACCTCCTGGCAGTTCTGTTCCTTACTCTGAGGGTACCCTCCACCATCTGAGGAAGAGCATTGCTACAGAGACCTCCCCTGGTCTCAGAGGTGTTGGCTTTCCCTCCAGCTCTGGTTCAGCACTCCAGATTAGAGGAACAGAAAGGAAAAGCAGCCCTTCCGCTGGGCTTCACAGTGGCTGGGTCTTGTTTTTCCCCATCAAGAGCCTTTCTTGGAGCTCTTAGGTTTTCTCCCATCCCCTTCAAGTCACATCTTAATAAAAGTTCCTAAAAATTGAACTATGTGATAGGGGCTCCAATCCCCACAACCTTATAACTATAACCCTTTGGCACACTGGTCTATGGAAAAAATTACAGCTGTCTCTCCCCAGAGGACACTTGGCAATTTTGGAGACATTTTTGGTTGCTACTGGGGGTAGTGGTAGAGGGAGGGGTGTTATCATCCTAAAGAGGGTAGAGGCCAGGGATGCTGCTAACTGTCTTACAATGTGCAGGAAAGCCCCTGCGATAAGAATTACCCAGTCACAAATGTCAGCAGTGGCCAGACAGAGGAGCCCCGATCCTTCTCCACCTTACTACCCAGGATTGGAAACCACAGTCCCTGACTTCCCTGTGGGGACTCCCAATTACATGGCCCTTCTTCTGGAGGTAGCTTTTCTGACATCTTGATAAACCGATTCCTACAGCTGTACTGGTCATGGGAGAAGGGACTGGAGATTTTGCATCTGAGTTGAGCACTTTCTCCTCAGAGGGTCCTACTTCTGATCTGGATGCCAGATCATGTGACAGTCTGCGATAGGGCGACATACATATAGATGACATGGATACCAACAACAGCTCTTCTAAACATTATGGACTTATTATTGTATGTTATTAAGTAGTACTAAACAATACTGCCTTCTGGTACTCAGATTTCACTCAGGTAACAGACACTGTTTGCCCAGCTGGTGCAGGCCCTAGGCTCTGTGCTGCCTGCACAGTGACTCAGAGCCTGTGCGCTTAGCCTTGGAAGCTGAAAGCTCGCCAGGATGATGCTCATTAAAATGCAAGATCCTGGGGTCCCCTCTTGAGGTCTCCTCTGACTGCACAGTCACGGTAGACCCTGAGAGTCTGTGATTTTAGCCAGCAGTAGAGGCTGCTCTACAGTAAGCTATCCAGGGCCCACCTGTAAGAACCAGTGGTAGAAAGCACAAAATTCTCTCGGCCTAACCCCAGGCTTGAGAATTTAATGTGGTAATTTTCTCTGTCTATGAAAAAAATCTAACATTTATTCTCCCAAGTTTCCCATTTTCAGCTGAAACATGGATGGTAAGGGAGCAGGATGCCTTTACAATAGGCACAATAGGCGGGACATTTCCATAAGAACAGAGCCATGGGCATTTTACCTTAAAAGTGGATTGGATAACTTAGAGTGAACATTAAGCACAGATGTTTGTATGGACAGGAGAGAGAGCTCTTGCCTGCTCCTCATCTCTGAACTGACCTCAGTGCACAGTCCCAGCTTTGTTTGGAAATATGGTCTCTCAGTCACCAAGATAAATGGTTCCTTTGGTTACTTTCAGTTGAATTTCAAAGCCCCTTCTCTGACCTGCTTCCCATTTGTGAGTTTTCAGTGGACAAGTCGTTTTAACACTCCAACTACCATGAACCATCCGGCCTAAACTTTCCTCCAAGCGAAGTCCTTCCAAGCTGTTGCAAGGCCTCAACACTAATGTCTAAAATCAAGAAGTTGTCTTACTATGTAGATTTTGTGTGTGTGTGTGTGTGTGTGTGTGTGTGTGTGTGTGTATGTGTGTGTAACATAGTCGATCACTTTCAGCCCAATTGTTTCATCTGACTGTGATCAATTTAAAAATAAAATTTAATAATAAAAGAAACATCAGGTATGGAAGCCACGTCGACAATCCCAGCACTGAAGAAAAGCAGAAGGGTCTCTGTGAATCTGAGTTTCTATAGCAAGTTTCAGGCCAACTAGAACTACATAGCAAGACCCTGTCTCAGAAAACAAACAAACGAAAAGACATCTATATAATAACAAACAACAAATTCAAGCTAATGTATCATCGTTGTCGTTAGAGGAAAATTATGAATTGAGGGCCAGAACGTCGCAGAATGTTCTAAAGTGTGACTTTTTCACCTTTCCTGAGCTCTCTCGCATTCCGTTCCTCTAGAACACTGTTCTCATACTTTAAAAGTCACTATGCTCTCACCTCATTTTCCACGTCTCCTTTTTACTCCAGGTAGCCCCTGGGCTCACAAACTCGGCACTCACTTAAATTCACTCGTGGATGAATCACTTCAAAAATACTCCAATCTCTGTGCTCTTACTGAAAGCCATCCAACTGATAGATGACTTTCCAAGCCAGAAACGACTCCATAGACACGTGAACAAAACCTCAATTTTGTATACGAGACGCAGCCTAAGACCACCCAAGTTCCCTTGATCCACGCAGCCCACCTCCGGACAGGAGAGCCCCCTTCCAGCATGTTGAAACTTCAGTCAACACATCAACCTGGATGCAAATCTCCACCCAACTCAGCATTGCTGCTTTTTACCGACTGAGGGCTCACAGCCCAGCATGCAAATAGTGGGTGCTCAAGCATAAGAACCCCCCGAGGTAAAGACCTGGATCCTGACCTTACCTATTTTCGCAGCCTCCGCTTTCAAGTTGAAATCCCAGTTCCTTGGCAGCTTCAGGGACATTTTGCTTCCGATTTGGGTGAGTAGCTGGTCAGGTAGCCAGTGGGCCACAGTCTGCGCCCTTCTTGCTTTTTCTGCTCTTCCCTTCAGTTCCGCCGTCTTCTCTGCCTGGTGATTGCTCCACAGGCACTCTTACGTGCCAGGCTCATCTGCCCACGTGTCTCTTCCTTTCTCTCAGATGAAAGGTCCATCCATCTGTCACTTGGGGATGGCACCCAAGCTCCCCTAATCCCACCCACAGTCCCCCGGGGCTGGCACCCTGCTTTGCGTTCAGTTTTACCAGAAACAGCCGAGTTGACGCTTTGCTCAAAAGAATCTCAGGCCTTACTGAAGCGAAGTCGTGATAAACAACAGTCTCTGCGTTTTTGTGTGTGTGTGTGTGTGTTTTTTTTTTTTAACTGTCTGCTTCCTTGCATTTTGAGGAAGTGGGTGGCTGTTCAGCGTTGTGGCGTTATGAGTACACTTTCTTCAGAAGACATTTAGAAATTTTTGTAAAGCTAGAGCCTGTTTGTGATATGAGGCTGTGGTTTTAGTTAAAAAAGAAAGAGAATCCCAAGGCTCTCACCGTGTGCCTCAACTCCTGTCCTCTCCCCCTCCTTGCCACAAACCACCAAAAATGGTCAGGCAGGCAGCCAGCTTTCTGCCCAAGTTACGGTCTTAAAAATTCTTGCTGTGTAAGGACCACATAGCTCTCACCTGCTTGGGATAAAAGTTCCTAGTGACCTCCACCTGATGCGTGGAGAGTTTTCATGCACTCAGCTGGTAAGTTGATTCCAGCTAGGCAGAAGCATGCAAAGGGTTAATGCTTCTTCCACTTTGTGTACACGGGGTGCTATTTACAACCAGACCAACAGTTAAAAACTCAGGTTTTCCTTCCCCTTTGAAAGAATCTTCCTGGGCCTCCATGTCTTCTTCAGAAAAATGGATCCTTAATGACCGTGGGTGCTCAGAGGCCTCTGCTACAGATTTTTGACACTCGGTAGTTACCCCACAAACACTAATGAAACCTTCATTCTAGCTAGTTCAGCTTGTGGTGGGCTTTTACATCTATAACTGGGTCAGCTCAACCTAGCAGTTAAGCGTCTAGGCCCTAGAACCAGATTGCCTGTGTTCAAATCCCAGCTTTACCATTTGTTTGCTGTGAGACTTTGGGCCTGTTCCTTGACTGCTTCCTGTTTCAGTGCCCTCATCTGTAAATGCATCGATTCACAGAGTGACTTCACAGGCTGCTGCGGAGGTTTCTGCAGACACCAGGCCTCTCTGCATAATCACTGCATACACGCCACACATCCAGGTCCCTTCACTTCATTGTCCTGGACAACTCGGAGAGCATTTTCCTCACTTCTCACAGCTATCTACTGAGGACCCAGTCTCCTGCTCCCTGTTGCATAAGCCGACTCCCTCTCCCCCAGCTCAACTTCATCACCTCTTGCTTCTTTCTCTTGGATGTTTCCTGTCAATATGAGCATTACAGAGTTTTCTTCACATCTTCAGGAAACTCTCTTGACACCTCTTCCTCCTTTGGCTGTAGCCTGATGTTGAGAATTTTTTTTTTTTAAAATAAGGACTGTTGAACTTGCTGTTATCTCTCCCCTTTCTCTTTCCTGGATTCCTCCTTTGACGCTCTTGCTTCCCAGAATGGCTTCTCAAGAACACCAATGGCTCTCCTGTCACTAACCTGCCAGGCCAGGTCTCTATCCTCTCCTCACTGGTCTGACAGCAGTGTCGGACATAAGAGCCCCCGCAACTTGGCACAACTCCGAACGGTCTCTCTCTCTCTCTGCCTGTCAGGGTCTATGGCTGGCCTGGTTTTCTGTTTCCTTTCCTTCTGCTCTATTTCTGGTTCCTCTCTGATTCCTTCTCGTTTCTCTGGTCTGTCAATCATGATTTACACCAGGATTCCACCAGTGGACTTCCTTCTCCTCTTTGTCGCCTTGACAACCTTGGCTGCCCTGAGACTTTCATTACCCCACACTGTATGTAACGACCCCTCTGTGTGTTCCCAGAACAGGCCACTTTTCAATTCCAAATTATGTCCATCTTTGCTTAGATCTCCAAGAGTCAACACATACTAATCCAAAGTCAATATCCAAGGACCGAACACGGTGACCCAGAGCGTGGCCTTCTCACTAGGAACTAAAGGGGTGTATGAGCCAATAAACGCATTTCAGGCCTCTGTGCTCAGCTTGTCGGCTTACATTCCACTGGCCCCCGTGAGTCACATGACCAAACACGAAGTCACTGAGACAGGAAGTACACATAGCACTAAGAGGAAAGGGACTACCCCGTTTACCTGGCTGTCACCCAGTACCACAGGAGTGCTGGGTTCCTTAACTTTGGCTCTGACTCTTGGGGACTTTGAAGCCTCAGATCTCCACTGCATCCTGCCTGACCCAACACACTATTCCTTATCCAGCCCTAAAAAAGCTGACAACCTCCTGAGCACCATCCCCGACAGCTCCATGGGGAACTTCACATACAAAGTTTCAGTCCTGGGATCTTTAACTTAGGAATTCTGAAAACATTCTGAAGGAGGCATTTAGAGACATGTGGGGAACTTCCTGGACTCTTTGGGGTGAGTTCCTGTGAGTCTTGGAAAAACATATGACCCATGGGGAAGTTGCTGTGCACACTCAGAAAGTCAATCAGCAAAAGCAGCCGCCAAGCCACGGAAAGGCTGCTCGTGGCAGCCCTGGAGGCCGACGCTGGGTGTCAGCTCCTGAGTGGGGGTAGAGACCTGATGGAGCTTCTGCTGCACCTTCTCTGACCTTTAGAAGATGAAGAACCAGATGTCGTGGTTAATAGTAAAGTTTGGGTTAACATCGGCAATAACGAAAGCGAGCATCCGTGTGTTTGTCTGTTAGCGCTAACCGTTTATTAAGGACCTATACTTTTTGCTGGAGGAAAGCTCGTGAACAAGCAATTTGGTTTCTGCCTCTCTCTTCCAGCTCTCTTCTCCCACCTCCCAGATGCAGCTGATAGGAAGAAGGGCAATATAGAAGAAGTTAAATATAGCATGAGAAGGGATATGATGGGGAAGTACAGTGAGCTGTGAAAGTTCATATGGGAGGGGCGTAAGCGGGACTCACAGAAAGGGGGCCGGCTTCCTGAAGCAGGCTTTCACACTCTGACTTGACAAATGTGTGAGAGAGATGAGAAGGTTTTGAAAAGGACCAGCTGTTGAGGCTCACACGCCTGTAATCTGAGCACTGAGGCTGAGGGAGGCTGACTGCCCTGAGTTTTTAAGAGCAGGCTGCCCTACAGGAGTCAGATCCCTTCCTAAAATGAAAAGGGGGGAGGGGAGCGGGGAGAGGGGAGATGGCGTGGGGAGAGGGAGACTGAGGGTTAAAAAAAACTCTCTAAAACAGTGTAGAAAGAACTCCTCCACTTGCTCCTAGGGTGCTGAGAAGTGTGAAAGGAATGAGCTAGAGGAGAGATGGGTGGGGTCAGAGGGTGCTGTAGGCAGGTCCCAAAAGGCACTGGTGAAGTTTTGACTTCTTCCAGGTAAATGGGGGATCTCCAAGGAGTCTTCTTCAGCTTGGCAGAGTGAGGAGGCTGAATCCAACACCCCCAAGTGGGAGGACGGAAGGGAGAAAGGTTGCACAAGGAAAGCAAACCCACCAGAGCCTTTGATGGAAATGAGAACCCTGAAGGTTCTTACACAAGAAGCAGAGGCGCTCTGACCCTGACTCCAGTGACTGACTGGGGTGGTGACAGTTCCCACCACAGAGAAGGGGTATGCACAAAAGGAAAGAAGCCTGATGTGGGGCCGGGGACTAGGAGCTGTGGACTTGGTACAGCTCCAGGCACAGAAGGGGGACTCCACATGGTGGAGACAGCAGTGGCCAGGCCTTTTTGGGAGCCAGGGTAGCTTCCCTGGAAATGAGACCACAAAAGTGGTTAGGAAGCAAGGGAGGAAGCCACTGTCTACAAAAGAAACAGCAATGGCCATAAAATGTGTCCCCCACTGTGCACAATCGGGGAAGCATCAAGAATGGTAAAAGGAACAGGGTGGCCAGAGGTCACCTCAGGCATGTCTGAGGAACTGGATTTTTTTTTTTTTTTTGGAAAGGCCTCACTGTGCAACTCTGGCTGGCCTGGAACTCACTGTGTAGACCAGCAGGCTGGCCTCTAACTCTTCTGCCTCCCAAGTGACAGGATTAAAGGTATATGTCACCATGGCACACCTAACAAGGTGACAAACTTTCAAACATGCCTTGCCTTTCACTGTGATTACAGAATCCCATGAGTGTTCTTTGTAGACATTTTAAAGAAGAATAAACAAATATGGCAGAGTCCATGTCATGTGGATAGTGACACCTCTTGATGTAAATACAATACCCCTACCGAGTTCCTGACACTTCAGATAGCATGAATCCCCTCATATGCTGTGTTTTGGTTCTTTATGTGCATGCTTACAACAAGGTCTAGTCTATGACTGAGGCATGGTGAGAGGTCGCACTGCTCCTAGCTCTAAGACAGGACAATTACAGCAAAAGCATCGCCACTCCAATGTTCAGGAGCCTTGCTGATGATCGACAGCCACTTGGATGCAGCACAAAGTACCACAGCTGATGGAGACAGCCAAGCTGACCTTGTGGGTCACTAACTGACCAAAGCCTCACAGTCCTCGGAGGCTGGGCAAAGGGTCCCTGTGGACATACTGCATTGCCATTTTCTTTAAGATACATGTGAGGAAAGTGAAAGTTTTGTGCCCACATCTTGCTCCAGAGTAAGCAAATGCAGCCTCATGTCGAATGCAGAAGGATCAAATACATGTCACCCCATTGCCCCAGCTTGTTTGTATTTCACTCCTAGCTCCTGCAGAGATTAAAGGTGGCCCTGTATTGTGGGGACACCTGACAGTGGGGGACACAACTGTAGAGCCAATGCCATGTGTTAGGGGCTAACAGCTGCATCTGGCCACCTTAAATTACTGACTTACAGCATTTGTCTTCTGAACTGTAGTGGAGACACCAAAAGCAACAGCTTTTTCCCTTTGGATTTGAACAGACTAGCTTCAAGAAAGCTGGGATTCTAAGGTAGGAGGTGCTAGTTTTTATTCCCTTTCCCTTGGCTATATGGAAAAAAAAAAAAACAGGGAACAAGAATAAAATCCCACTGTGTTGCAGAGGAAGATTTCTGCCCTCTGAACACTGTGTGACCACTAGGAACAGCCTCCTCAGCTCTACCCCAGAGCCTTGTTCCCCATGCCCTGCCATGTTCTGTCTCACACTGACCTACACTATTTCCCCAGCTTTGGATCTAATGTCTGGTCAGTTTTGTGGCCAATTAAACT